TCCAGAAAAAGGGGGGAACACATGCAAAGGAGCGTGCACCTGGGAGCTTCTGCTACAGACTGAAGAGACCATTCTGAGCTTTCTTACGACGATGCTTTGTGTAGATGTGAGGAAGGTCAGATACCTGATGGCATAAACAGCAACTGGAGAAACATCAGAGCTTAGAAGCAAACAGTGCTTCTGAAGGACGGTAGGCAGTTTTGCCTTACTGCAAGGGATTTTTGCCAGGCCTTGTATCTGAGCTTGCTCCAGATTCCACACCAAACTGGCCTACCTTTCCCCTCTGCCAAGGGAGAAAAATACACACAGAAGAAAACATTTGTTCCCACTTTCTAAACATGACGGATCCTCAGGCTGTAGGACAGCTGCAGATGGGGCACATTATTCTCCACAAGGAAGATCAAGCCGCCTACAAACTGCTGCTGAAATTAAAAGGACTTTTTGGTGTAAACAGTCAGATGAGCCGAACCAGCATGAAAATAAGTATTTTTTATTTCTCTATTGTTATGCCAAGAGATTTCATCATGTAGAGAACACTTAAGTGATTCAGTAAGAGTTACAGCAATATGTCCTGAGCCGAGGCACATGTCAGCCTGACACACAGCCTGTAAGCAGCTCATTAGTTACGCAACATACAAGAGCAACGATGACGAACTAACATTTTCTATTACTTACTCTGAAAGCTAAAGAGAGACAAAAGCAACACGCTAGCTCAACCACCAAAACTTTGTCAGGAAATGAGAACCACATCTCAAATCATGACTCAGTGTGGTTTGAAATTCTCAGCAGGCAAGTAGGATATGCAAGAGGCCACTTAAACCACAATCAGCAGTGCTGATCATATTCACGTACAATGCAGGCCTTCTGGCTTATCAAGGTTCCCACGACTTGTTACTGCCACAAAAATCAGACAGATTCTTGCTTCCAGAAATATGACTTTCCTTACAGGCAGCTGCTGTGCCAGCTCTTATTTTTTTATGAATCCTTTTGAAATATTGGTGTGTTTTCCGGTCAGAATTTATACCAAGCACTGTGTTATTTCAACATTATACAAAAAGAGAATCAGATTTGCCTCTACTTACAAGTGACTTTAACAAGTCAGAGAAATCTGAATTTGTATTTCTGGGTTTCTAGGAGAACCTCCTACCAATTTTATCCCTCCCTTCTCTTCAAAAAAGGCTTAGGAAGGAAAGCATTACCAGAATATTTCAACTGCTAAAATTTCTAGGGTTTTGGCATTCAGTGCAGCAGTGTTGCTATCAAATGCTTCAGAGGAATTTCAAGATTTATTCTTCACTCGCTTAGAAAACAGCCATTTCACTGAATCATAGAATAACTAAGGCTGAACTGCAACATCTCTGCTCAAAGCAAAGTCAACTACAGCAGGATGCTTGGGACATCATCCAGTCGGGTTTTGAGCTACCCCTAAAGATGGAGACTCCAAAACCTCTCAGGGCAACAGGCTCAAGTGTCTGACCACCTTCAACACAAAGAAGTTTAAAACCAGTAATTAGCATTCAGACCTACCTATACCTACCTATACTCACTTGCCTCGACATTCAGTTACAGCATCTAAATGCTGCTCAGAGCACTCCATCAAATGGAAGCTCACTGAGGCATTGCCCACAAACTCTGGATCCGGAGCAGAATCCCAGCTCCTATCACCATTAGGTAGAACATTCTGGAATTGTGATTTAGAAGGCTGGCACTGCACAGAATGAACTGCTCTCCCCTTGTAAAACACAACCATCCAAGCATGTGTATCCACTGGTCAAAGATACAACTTTGCTACAGTAAAATGACTAAATGAAGTTCTTTTGCTTTAAGCAAAAGTTACTTCTACCAACTAAGACAAATGTAGATTTCACCATACAGTGACAAAAACATACAGACAAAAGCAGATGGTACAACTGGGTACATGTAATGTTTCTCTTTAGTTTTCAGAGACTAAAACTAGCTACCTGCAGTCAGGTTCTAAACAAAACAGATGTGAAAAATGTCCATGCTCCCCTCCATTTTTACCCCCAAGCCCAAGAACAACTGCAAGCACGTTGTTTCAAGCAGAGCCCAGCACTGGCTACAGAAGTCTTGCTTAGCAACAACAGGGCTAGTTCAGGCTTCAAGTTTACAAACCTCAGGCATAACCTGTAAACATAAGCTGTGTAACAGGAGAAACGCACATTCAGTGTTTTTTTTTTTAAAGGAAATTGTGAAATTTGAAGAGTAGAAAGAAAATGCGTCCACAGGCAACACCAGTTCACATCTCACTGCATGTCTTTTCATGCAAGCTGAACAACAAAGATGCTTTAAACAAACCTGGATGTCTTGTGGAGGAAAAAACATAGAAAATGAACCTTTCTCTGTCATTAATACAAAATATCAAGCCAAAATTTTGGGCCTTGTAGCTTCCTGAATTTCTCTTAAAAGTAAGATGACATAATGAAGAGCTGCTAAGCCCCCACACTGTTCTTTTGCATGCTATTTTACCATAGTTTGATTCTGTACTGAGCCAGTACAGCAACGTCAGTAATTTGCATGTACAACAACAATGTGAACGTCAAGATTTCCAGTTCAGAACCACAGAATTATCTAAGCTGGAAAACCTTTGAAGACGGCCAAGCCCAACCATCAACCTGGCCTACCGAGTCCTGCAGCTAGATCACACCATTCAGTGCAACTCTGAACCACACACTGAATGACACTTGCTTCCTGCCCATTTCCCATAATTTTTTTTTTTAAGTGGATGGTGGTTCTTGTTGGATAGCAGCATGACACTGCTCCAGACAGTTTCGGTGAGAACCCCAGGCCAGGCATGGCCTGCAGGGGCAACGCTAGTAATGAGCAGACCTGTGAAAGGCAAAGCATTTCAAACATACAAACCCAGCAATCTGTGTGCATGTTCGTATTTTATTTCCCATTGTCATTTTGAATAAGAATAAAAATAGTTGATTAATTGAAAGGAGACTTGGTAAATCACTGCCCCCACCCTCAGGATCCAACACGCAAGGCAAGCCTCAGTGGAAGATGAGCTCATGATTGCTGAGACAGAGGACCAACCCCCACACATTCAGCAGCATTTTCTGCAGGGAAGCTGGCCTACATGCAAAAGTACCCAGTGAAGAGTATGTACAAATCTTCCAATTCTAAAAAAAAAAAAAAAAAAAGTCCCCAAACCCACCAACTCACCAAGAACGTTGCAGACTCCAGCATCTATTCAGGTTTCTTATCTTACAGCCCACAAAAAAGCCCTGCAAATTCAAAACTTCCTTTGCCAAAAATAAAAATTCATAGTACAGAGCTTGTTCAAAAACCCAAATAAAACAGATGCGCTGATTTCTGTGGCCATTCAAGTACATTAAACCTTATAGCACTTTACTATTCTGGTTGAGAGAAAAAAACATCCGAAAGGTGCTCTCACATTGTTACACGCATTTTAGCTGGCCCTTGGAAAAGAGCATGCATTAACAGTAGCGATGGGCACAATTCCTACCAAGCAATGAGAACTTCTCGTGCTCGTAAAGCGTAATTTTGCTACGGTTGCCTGGTGAAATATAGAACCTCTGCATCCAAATCACGGAAAAGATGGAAAGTGATCAGCGTAGTGATGTTAGGCATTTTGCTACCTACTGCCCTATTGATTCTGAGAAACAATACATTGCAGCTGCATTAAAACATTAAAACCCACAGAAACACAATTCCAAGCGAAACACGGGCATGCTATTTCCACTTTCCTACAATTAATACCTAAGTACCTTATGCAATCTGCTGCAGACGCAAATAAAAAGGCTCCCTTGTATATGTCACAATCTGATGCGATGCAGGCACCCTGCCTATCATCAGCCACCATAAAACTTACCCGAATCCCACAGTCTTTCAGGGCTTTCAAGACTGTCTACTTTACTCTGCTGAGCACAGAGGGAAGGACTCTCATTTCACACCAGAACAGAACGTTTTCACCATTTTGCCTCCATATTTATCTTGATTGCAGATTACCAAACCAGCTAACAGAGCCAAAACTGGCCAGGTTTTCTTTTTGAAATCATACAGCGTAAGATTCTAGAGTTGCTGATTTCCTGTTAGAGGAAGTAACAGTTCTGGCAAAAAGAATCCCCAAGGCAAAACGTTCAGTGCTCCAATGTGCAAGCTCTAACAGCCTTTGTTCTTCCCTTTGCTACATTCATTACTGCTTTCTTTCCTCTCCCTCTCTCCCTCTGACTCCTCCAGCTTTCTCTACAAGAAGCAAATGCCAGCTCACATCTAAGAACACATGTATTTTTCAGATGAGAAAAAAAAAAGAAAAAAGAATCCCATCCATTACCCACTGCTTTGAGTTAAAAGCGGCCATCGCTCAGGAGCCGAATCACTGCTCATCTGCTTTCCTATTCTTATTTCATTACTGCACAAAATTATAATTCATGCAAATAATAATCCACTGGAGCTCCATCAGACCTCTGAAATGCATCTCTCCTCTTGGCTGCCGCACAATTCTCCCTGGGTTACAGCAGCCTAAGCAACACCATCCTCATTCTGCACGTTTTCCTACGTAGGACATATTAAGCACAGGTTTAAGACAGAAGACCTGAATTCAGAAACAAACATCGGGTTACTCACATACGGCCAAACAAGCAACCTTTGCACAACCAGACAGCAAATTCTGGACGGGCACTGCTGTAACACAGCTCCAACAGTTCGCTGCCATGTGGTCCGCAATTTACGATTGCCACTCAGAGGCCTATCCTTTATCACAGCATTGTGAAAAAGCGTGCATCCGGGTGTGAGATATCAAAACGGCCGTGTTCGGAGCAGGTATCAGCACGCCTTTACAAACAATAGCTTTAATCCTATTAAACCTGGAGGTTAATAGCATTTCTTCACCAACACACTCAGACGCCGCTGCCGCTCTCGCTAACGTGCCAAGTGTGCCACCAGAAAGCAGGAAAGGCTTGCCTTTCTCACACACACAAGCACACGCCGCTGTCACACTCGCACACCCGTCTCACCTTTGTGAACCTTGACCTCTGGAAGGCTTTTCTGCCAGCGCTCAGTTACTGCCACAGATGGATCACCTCTGCAAATGCGAAAGGGTTAAAGGCAGCCCCAATCAATAGGCCTAGAAGGAGGAAAAAAAAAAACCAAAAAAGAAGAAAAAGGAGAAATGAGTATGTCTTACAGCATCTCTGCAATGCTTTACACACAATTCCACAACAACATCGCTTCCTTTTGGCCTTTCAGACCCCCTCCCCAGCATCCCCTCCAGAAGAAAACCACAAGACAGTGCCCTGCAAATAACACGGCATGCAAAGCAGCATTCTTCAGTCGCGAGCACGGCTACGATTACAAACCATTCCATCCGTTTTATTCGGTTTAGTTTTAAAATAGGCTGCACAACCAGTGTCCCACCCTTGCGAAGCAAAAGCACTGTAACAAGGGTGGTAAATCTCAAGCTCGTGCCCCTTCCTTAAGCATAAAAAAAGGCAGAAAAAGCCCGAGTTCATCTCAGCTACTGCAAAGATGTACATTTACATACAGAACCCTTTAGGACTACATAGCCACATACCAGTGCTGTGTGTCTAAGTGTGCATTCACATACTGTTTAGGGATGGTATCTGTCTGCAAGCTCCTCTGCTTTTGGCTGCCATGGAAGGAGGAAGCTATCCCACTGTAGCAGCTCACTGACTGCATTGTGTTCGGGAGCCGATCTGCCTCAAACCAGTTCCAGCCGGTTCTGGTCACCCTACATAAAAGCTACGGCAACCCTCGCGGAGCTGCCAACGCGTCCCCGTCAAGAGCGGGGCTCCGCTCGCCTCCGCGGGGCCGACGAGCCCCGACCCCGTCCGGCCGCCCCCCGCTCCCCGCCCCTTCCCCCCGCTTACCTCCCACCACCTGGCCGGCGGCCGTCCGCGTGCCCGCCCGCGGCTAACAAAGGCGGGCTGTCTGCGGCGGGCTCGGCCGTGCCCGGGGCAGCCGCGTCCCCCCCGGCCCTGGCGGCCGCGCGACGGCCGCCCTCCTCCCCTCTGCCCCCACATCTGGGGCCGCTCGGCGGCATCTTCCCTTCTCCGCCCGGCGCCGGCGGCAGGGATTACCCACGCACGCACCTCCCTCCCCCGCACCGCTCCGTTTCCGCAGCGGACAGCTGCCCGCGGAGCGGCTCCCCGGCCCCTCGGAGCGGCGGCAGGGCTGCGGTGACGGGCCTTTTTCTTTTTTTTCTTTTTTTTTTCCTTTTTTTTTTTTTTTTTTTTTGGCTTGCTTTCTTTCTCCGCTCGGCCTTCCTCGAGGCGCCCGGCGCAGCGCCCTGCGGCCCCACGAACGCGGGAGGCCGCGGCCCACCCCGACAAGATGGCGGCCGCCCCGGCGCTGCGTGCGGCCCTCGGGGCCGCGGCCGGGAGCGGAGCCGCGCCGTCCCACGCGGCAGCGCCGGCTCCTCCGCGGCTACTCACCCTGCGCTCCGCGCACCCACCGCCATCGCTGCGTGCCCGGCCCCGTCTCCGCGCGGGGCTCGCTCCGTCCTCCGGCCGGCCGCCGACCCGGCGACGCCGCCGAGCCGCACCTGTAACTAAGAGCCGAGGCCGGGCGCGACCCGCGCCGCCTTCCCCTCCGGGAGCGCCGACGGCCGGCGCCTTCCCCGCATCCCTCATCCCCACCCCGCGCCGCGGAACGCCGCCACGTTCTTCCGCCGCCTCGGCCCCGGGCACGCGGATCGCACGAGGACCCCTCCCCCGGCCCCGCACCGCCGCCCGAGCCGGGCCACGCTCGCCCCTCTGCGCCGCGGGGCGTCGGGCGGCGGGGGTGGCGGCGGTGCGGATCGGGGCCGCGGGGAGGTGGGCTGCGGGCGAGCCGGCGGAGCGGCGCGGAGCAGGCCGCGCTCCGCCGGGCCGGGAGGAGGAGGCGACCCCGACCGCACGCAACCTCCGCCCCCGCGCGCACACACCTGCTGCGGCCCGGGCCCGGCGGGGCTCGGGGGGGGGCGCGGCCGCGGTCAGCGCCGCCGGGCCCGGCCAGGAGACGGCGGAGCATAATGGCAGCGGCTCTGCGGGAGGCGGAGGGGGGGGGGCGGGCGGGGGGAGCAGCGGCTCGCACGGGTGGGGGAGAAGCTCCGTGCGATTCCCTGCGGAGCGGCTCCGGGAGACGGCCGGGGGGCGGGGAGGGCCGCGCGGCCCCAGCGCTCCGCGGGCGGCGGGGATCGGGCAGCGCCGGGCGGGTCGCGGCCTCGACGGCGGAGCCGGCCGCCTATCCCCGGCCCTGCCGCCTATCCCCGGCCCGGCCGCCTATCCCCGGTCGGCCGCCTATCCCCGGTCGGCCGCACGCCGCGTTCCGGCCCGCAGCGCTCGAAGCCGCGGGCGGCGCTGCCGGCACCGCACGGTTGCCGTCCCCGGAGCCGGGCCGCTACGCTGCGCTGCACCGCAAGGCCGGGCGGGGAGCGGCGGCTGCTCGCTGCGTGACCCCGGCTGCTCGGCCTGCGGGCATCCCGTCATTTTAAACGGGTTTTGTCATTTGGATCCCGCAACGCGAAGCTCCGCGTTCAGCTGAACGCCGGTTTTATGTATTAGGAACGAGGCAGCCGTACCGAGATCGTGATGCAGGGTTTGACAGCCGCCTGCACTCGATTGCAGCCTCTGCGGTAGCATTGCAGCCTTTCAGTATGTAAAGGGAGCCTACAAACAGGGGGGGAATCAACTCTTTGAAAGGCTGGATAACTGCAGGATAAGGGGAAATGGTTTGAAGCTGAGGGAGGGGAGATTGAGGTTGGATGTCAGGGGGAAATTCTTTAGAGAGAGTGGTGAGGTGATGGAACAGCTGCCCAGAGAGGCTGTGGATGCTCCGTCCATCCCTGGAGGTGTTCAAGGCCAGGTTGGATGGGGCCCTGGGCAGCCTGGGCTGCTATGAAATGTGGAGATTGTTGGCCCTGCATGTGGCAGGGGGTTGGAGATTCATGATCCTTGAGGCCCTTTCTAACCCAGGCCATTCTGTGATTCTGTTCCATTAAAGGCAATGGATCTGCATTCTGTGCTGACATCCAGGAAGGGCCTCTGACCCGCACCACCCAGGGTTCGTCCTGCAGCTGCCCCCTGAAACACCCAAATTTTCCCTCATTTACCAGGAAATTGGGTGGGAAGCTGTGGGAAGTCTGTTTCCCTGCGCTGGGTGCGTCAGGTTTGCTGGCATAGCAGGGTGTGTAGCAGCTGCTGCTGCTGTTTTTGCATTGCGGCTTACACGTGGCATAGAGGTCCCTGTGCCTTTTGGAGAGGCTTGTTTCTTCCTGACCACATGTTTCTGGCATCCCCATGGGAAAAAAACAGCTGGTCACCTCAAGCATTTAACTCTCAAATAGTAAAGTTAAGAGGATTGGAAATACTGCTTGTGAGTGGAGCTGGGCAGACCGCCCTTCTGCAGCAGCTTTTTCCTTCACACACACAAAACAACAGAGCGCTGCATTGCAGCTGTCCCCGCAGCGCCGCTGCTGCTCGATGAGGCCTCAGATGATCTCAGCACATTCCGTCCCCGGGTCCCTTTGAGGCAGCTGCTGTGTGTGGGTCACTGCAGTGAGCCGTCCGTCCTACCCCATGGGTCAGCCATGGGTCTGTGCAGGATGACCCCAGGCAGGCTTGGTTCCTACAGCCGCCAGACGTCTTCCTCAAAGATCCCACCTGCACGTTTCCTTCCCCTCACCCCATCCCCACGGCTGTGGCTGCAGGCAGTGGGATTAGCTGGCACAGAGCAGCACTGCTGTTCTGTTCTGCCCTGGTCGGTGTGCAGCGGAGCGCAGACCCCGTTTGCCATCCCCGTAGATGTGGTGCTGTACCATCCTTAGAACCTGTGGTGGAAGGAATTACCGCTTCCTGACATTATTCTACTTTTGATGCTGCAGCGAATGCTGATTGCTTCTTAATTATTTAATTCTGTAAGGATGCTAGGGCTCTGGAAATCCACCACTGCAAAACCTGCTGCGTTATTTCTGCTTTCTGTATTGGAATCCGTTGCATCAAATATAAGCAGCCTCAAACAAAGCTTTTACTCATCGCAGCTCTGCTGGGTCAAAAGGTGATTTTACACAATCAGACACAATTTACGTTTCATTTTTTATGTCGGAATAAATGATGCCTTTTTCTTGCACTCTCCCAGTTTTGTTTGTTGCTTTATTCAATAACACTTCCCTCCCTTACTTTATCCAAGAAGGGTAAATAACATATAAATTCCATATTTTCAATCCTACATTTATTTTTGTTCTAATAGTTCTATCGCGTCTGGCAGAAACTGAAAACTATCCATCGCTTCAGTTGCTTTCATAGGTTTTTCATCTTAAAATTTCCTGTACTGTGCTCCTGATAAGAGCACAGCAGAAGAGCACTGCGTTCTCCTTCTATATAATACATTTGCTTTTCCTTCTTTCAGTGCTAGGAATGCAATGGTACGATTTTTCTTTAAGTGTTATACTGAAACATTACATATTAAAAAAACAAACGCTGCATCTGAACTTTGCTTTTTCAGATGCTTATATTGCTATTCTTTACATATTTTCTTGGCAAAATAATTCCATTTCCTTTATTGTTTATTAATTTATGTCTTATTTCTTGGACTGAAAACTCCAGGGTTCCTTTTAGGAAAATGAGATTTATTAAAAAAAAGTCATCTCACGGGAGATAAGAAGAAGGACTTTGGAAGGGAGAAAACTAGCCACACTGGAAATCATCTGAACTAACGTTGAGGTTAAGTAAAAATTATTGGCACAGCAGTAGCACTCATGGAAAGCTGAGGATGGGGCTGAGCAGAGGCTCAGGCTGTCCTGGGAGCTGCCCTGCTCTGCCCTTGTCCCACCACCCCGTGGCTCCCGGTGCAGCCAGGGGGATGGATGTGGCTTTGCTGCTCTGTCCACCTCCAGGCTATTCTTTCATTCTGCACAGAGGTATTTCAGATGAAGGAAAGGGCGCTTAGCACCCACATCAGCCCTGTGGAATGCCAGCCCTGTAATGGCGAAGGGAGCGGGGCAGCCCTGGGCCCGGGTTTTCCCTGCTACCACCTCCCAAACCCAAAGCTCCACCTGCGTCACCAGTTAATTACATAACAGGACCGCATGCAAATGACAAAATGCAAGGCTAATGGATTTTCTGTGAGCACCTGTTAGTACAGTCCTTTCTGCTTGCTATACCTTCCAGCGCTGGGACAGAAACCCCTCCGTCAGCGTTCTCCTCAGGCATCGACCACCTGCCTGATTAACATCCGTATAACGAAGCTCATCAGCGGAGGACATTGAAAAATGTCTGTTTTGTTCCCTCAACGCACCATATGTACGGGGGTTTTACTTCCCTTCTCTTGATATTTATTCAAGTACGCGAGGATTATTTCTGAATTATTCATCGTACAATATCTGATTAGGCTGTGGCTGTGCAGGCTCCCACTCTTAATGAATGAGCCATTAGCCCTTTGCAGATGGTTCTATCAGCAGCTATTTGAGCACTGTGTGCTCACCTGCACGCGCCCGGAGGATGCAGCTCACTGCAACCGCAGCTGAGCGCCTGTGCTGCTCCATGCCCTCCTCAGGCAGTGCTTTTACTCTGCCCTTTCTGATGCTGGATGCACCTTCTCTCAAGGCTGAAATTCTCCATGCCGGTCAAGTAGGAGGGAGAGCGTTTTTGCAATGCTGAAGTTTTGTTTTAAACAAAACACGGGTGTGTCAGAGCAGGGCAGCCCGCAGCTATGGCCTGGGGGTGGGCTAAGGAATGCCGCAGGCTTGCAGAGTGACACTGCAGGATGGCGTTATCAGCTCAGTGGGTTTCTCAGGGAGCACAGGGCACGCCGTGCTGCACAGCTCCTTGGCTCCGGCAGTGCCCGCTGTACTGGCCATGGCCACCCTGTATGCACACGGCTGGAGGGGTGAAGAGAGGTGGTTCTGTGCCTGCTGAGCATCCCGCAACACCCAACCACAAGCAGTGTGGGGGAACGTGGCTGCCTCCATCACGTCCCCGAGTGCTTTGAAACACCCAGGGCACCCACGCTGCTCGCTTTATCGTCCTGCTGGGCCCCAGATCAGCTTCCCCGCTTTGTGTGGAGGGCAGGTGGTGGGGCCCTGCTGCGTCTGGCACAAAGGAACAGACGGGCACACTTATCTCTCTGCAGGGGCCCCAGGTGACGGCGCGGCCCCGTGGGACGCTGTGGGGCCATCAGTGCAGCAGGATGGCCGATATGGCTGCTGGGACATCCGTCGCTGTCACCAGGGACAATGCTCAGTCTGACCACACCTGCCACGGCCCTGACAACATTGTGCTTAATGTCAGCCTGTGCAGGGAGATTAGGAGCCTGCATGCGTTGTCCACAGGGCTCATTCACCACTGCAGTTCCTCAGCAGCTTTGTCCTCTCTGCTTTCAGAAGAGCCCATG